GAGAAAGCACTGACAAGCTAAATAGTTATAATAATAGTCACTAAAATGGCTCTTTAAAAGTACATCAACAACTTCTCATCTTAATCTTTTATTTAATTGTATGTCTTTTTGGCTATGTTTTCAGATCAGTGAGAACATGCCCGTGCTTAATCCTCAATAAAATTACTATGTTTTAGAAAAATATGACACACCTGTTATAGATTAAGTACATGTATAATATGCAGCTATTAAAAGATGTTAAGACCAAAGTCCTAACATTTCAAGTTTTAAACAATGAGAAAAAGATGTGTGCTGAAAATCTGCCAAGTATCTACAAATTATATTAAAGATGGATTATATTTTTTGGATAGTTTTAGGCAACAGGTTGACAGGATTTAATTTATAGAAGAAAAGAAATAGAGAAACAATTTTAAGTTATAGGTTATGTGATTTTACATATTAATCCTTATTTAGTTCACAAAATAGACATTAACTATATGTCTTTAAAATTCATTAAGTTACACATAATTTTTTAAAGGAAGATATACATGTGATTAGAGACTTGATTAATACACATACTGACTGCAGAATAAAAATAAAAACCTGTCTATTGATGGATTATGTGGACACACTCATATGTACACAGGCCGTAATGCAGGCTCTTGCTGTACTTCAGTCACAGGGACTAACGCACTCAGTTTCTGCACCAAATCCAAGTTTAACACTAAAATTTAACTTTATAATCTCAAATATGAAGGAGATACACTCCTACTCTCCAAGATATAGGAGGGAGAAATGAGGTGAAAGAAATTCTACCTTAAGAAAACAACCCCAAAGTTTGGTGGGATGATGAAAACTCTCCCTCTCACAAGGATCTCTACATTTCTGCTTGAAACAACCAACAGACTGACATCAAGGGGCTCAGGGAATTCTAGAAATGATTTTGTTGTCTTGCTTTTATACCATTCCCCTAACATCCCAGGATATCACTGACTCTCAGTTCAGTATTCTGAAGTGAAAGGTCTTATTTTAAAGAGCTATCTTAAATAAAAGAAGGCACTATTTTTAATGTAAAAAGATAAATAATTAGAAACTCATGGCTCTTTGTTTCTGGAAGCCCTAACACTAGTGACATCACTAGTGCTTCCTAAATAAAAGCTAAATACTGAGACAATTACCAATAACTTATTTTCTTTGTTGTCCTATTTCAGCCTATGCTGTAGAAGAATCATAAGATGAAACGTTGGTAACAGTCACATAAATTTAAGTCCAAGTTCCCAACCAGAACTTACTATGGGCAGAGAAGAAATTAATAAACGGAAATATGTAAGAATTTGGGGGAGAAAAAAGGTTACCACTAAAGGCTATTACTATTTATGTCTGGAGTTAGGAATCTACGGGCAGGAAAGAGAATCTGAACAATAATGTGAACAGTAATGAAGCTATAGATTATGTACTATGCTCTTATGGGAAGGAATAAAATTAGTAAAAACAATGGAAGCCAAAGGCCAGTATTTATTCTCATCTAGGAGAATCATATTTGCTCTGGTGGATCATGTTACGATTCTGACCATCCCCCACCCCTTCAACCTGGAGGAAACCTTACGATGTTGGGCTTCATACTGGGACCCGTGATGCTGTAACTGCTGAGAGCGCCGGTAACAGCCGTCTCCAGCCTTCAGGGCCTGCTTAAACAGCTTCTCTGCTTCAGCAATGGTTGTGGCCTCCTCTTCAGCCAAGAGAATATAAGCAGTTGCACACCTGTCCATTCAGATAATAGCCTCATCAATTCCAAACCCAAGGACATGGTAACAGCTGTAGGAGTACATGCAGAAGGGCAAGGAGTTATGCCAATACATGCAGAGTGGCCAACTGGTTCATGCACCCCTGTTTGTAGCTGTTGACACAAAATAATGGTACAAAAGAAAGGTCTGTATTTTAGTTTGAGAGGTAGGATGTGTGTTGTTAGGAGCGTGGAGCTCACATAGGGACTTGGCCCCTTATTAGTGTGTTGCTTTGGGCAAGTTATTACTCTGCCTCCCTGATGGAGAACAACGTGGAATTTATTTGTTCACCATGTTGTTGTGAAAGTTAAATAAGGTGATGCATGTAAAGTGCTCAGTACAGTAGCCAGCATGTGTCACATGCTCAAAAAATGCCAACTAACAATGGTGATGATAATAACTGTTATTAAACACCTTCTTCCAACAGTCAAAATTAGAGATAATTACTAAACATAGATTCTCTTTAAGGATTTCTTCAGAAAAGAAATTCATTAAATCAAGTAAATTCCTCACTGAAAAAACAGTGCTTCAACATCTCGTTAGTTGGCACCGATTTTCTATCTCAGAGAAGAACACTGGTAGAACCTACAGGTCGTGTTATTTCTGAAGAGCTCAAAATTTAATTCAGCCTCAGCAGCTAACAAGCATTAAATCTCATGCCTTTGATAATAATAGCTATCAGCTGTTGCTCAGTATATATTAAGTACTGTACAAGGCACTTAACATGTATCATCTCATTTAATCCTTCAACAACCTCTAAGGTAGGAAGCCAAAAGGCATAAGCCACAAACTAATGAACAAGGGGAATTCTCGGAAACTAAACCTTCCACATCATGTAAGAACAGCCCAAGTGCCAAAGAAAGGTAATGTAACAGGGAAATGGTGAGCAGGGCAGACCACACAGGCCCTGATGTGCACAGACCCCTTTACTTTCCTTCTTCTCCCCTGACTCTCTTGTGGTTATCTCTCTACTTATCAGAACCTCCATCAGACCACAAGAGAGAAACAGAAAGTGAAACCAAATGGTGCTTTTGCTACTCATAAGCTGCAACAGCAGCTAGGAAAAGGAGGCTGAGCTTACCACTACTGTGAGGTTTGGGGTTACTCGTTAACCTTTGCATTGAGGCAGGCTCTTGTAAATTCTTCAGCCAATCCCTCTAATTTCAGGCAGGACTGATCAATGGGGCTTTAAACTGAATGTGGTAAGATAGGGAGAAAAATGCCCAGAAAAAAGTTCAAAACCCATATGGAGGGCAGTAGATAAATGGCTTAGAAAGAACAACAATGATGCTGAAACTGCCCAGTGCCTCACTTGAGGAAGTAACTGGGATAGGCATCAGAAAGCGATACTTAAGCTTCAGATGCCAGCATACAAATACAGGTCAAAGGTAATGAAGTGAAATCAAGACTAACACTGTGTGGCAGACACAGGGTCAGAGGAATTCGCTCTAAGATTATAGTTGGTGGGCTGGGAACTCAAGACAGGTTGGGGCAAGCTTGCTGCTTTATTTATATTTCAAATAGTATTCTTAGGAGGAGAGGCAGAGTAGCACTACTGGCCAAGAAAACATACATCTATGTTTGGGTAGAAACTCATGAGTTTGGGTAGAAACATGCTAAGAGCTTGTGAGTGAAGGAGAAGGAAAAGAACAATAGAAGTGCTAATGGTTGGGGAATGCAGAACAGACTGCCAGCTGGATGGAAGAAATAGGTGATGCGTCCTTGTCACAACACAATACACACACAGAAGCAAGAAGTATGGTGATGGGGGTGTCAACCATCCAGATATCTGCTAGAAGAAGTCTCACTTGGTTAGAAGTAGGGCACCCGACAGGTTCTTGACTTACTTGGGTAACAATTTTATCTCCCAGATGGTAGAGGAAGCAATTAGGGGAACTTCAACTCTGGACCTAATTCTGACCAAGAAGAAAAAAATAGTTGGTGAAATGAAAATTGATAGGAACATTCAGAGAGAGTCACTATGTCATTTTTGGAGTTCAGGATAATCAAAGAGGGTAAAGTGGACTTCAAAAAATTCAAAGAAAAGAGGCATGATTCAATGGCATGAGACTCAGAAGGAAAAATGGTTTAAAGGATTGGGCAGCTTCTAAATGTCCAACTGTATCTGCAATCACAAATGATACTCTCAGGAAGAAATGATACTCTCAGGGTGGTGGGGAGAGGGGGACAATTAAGTAACTAATATGGCTGCATAGAGATCTCTCTCAAGGTCAGATTTTTAAAAGACATGTAAAAAATGATGCAAAGAGGGCATGTAATGAAGGACCATAAGAGAGTGGAATGAGCTTGTAAGAATACTATCAGGAGAGCTGAAACTCCAAATTGACTGATGCTTGCAAAACAAAATAAAGACAAAACAAACAAAATGCTACACACAACCATTTATTCCCTGTTTTTAAATTTGTTTAAGGCGCTATCACCCTCCCCTCATTTCTACAAAACCATCACAAAATTAAGCAAAAAAGACAAACAACACAACAACAATACCAAAACAAGGAAAGTTTATAGTTAGTAGCAGCAGATAATAAAGAGAAAGCAAAGCTCTCTAACTCCTATTTTGTTCCCAGCTTCTCTGTCAAGGAGAATGATTGTCAGGCTGAAAAAAGGGAGAAGAAATTAAACTCTAAAATGGGCAGAAAGATGTAAGACAGAAAACAACTGATCTATTCTAAATGAATTACTATACTGGGATGAGCAAATCCCAAGAAGCCAACAGTCCTTGCAGGCAGGCCACAGAATTGCTCTCTGTAGATAGGTCGGGAATCACAAAGAATGGAGAGGTACTAGAAGATGAGATGACAAATGTAGTAAAAATGTTCAAAAAGGGGAAGAAGGCAGATTCTGGCTGCAGCCCCAAGGGTTTAATAATAAGGACATCTATTGAGATTTTTTTTAACATGGCTTTGCATGTATTCAAAGCTTTGCATGTATTATTTCATTTAATCTCCAAAATAATCCTAAATAGCAATTGTTATTATTACTATGTTGCTACAAGTTACTGTTATCCCATTTTATAGATGAGGAAATAAGACAGAAAAGTTGAGTAACTTGCCCAAGACCACTCATCTGGTAAATTGGGAGCTAGAGCTGAACCCCAGACTGTCTGGCTGCAGCAGCCACGGGACTATCACATCATCTGGTACTCTCTGCAATGGCCATTCAATGGTCTGAAGTCAGGTGGGTTGCCACTGTTCCCAAACACAAACTCAAACTCACATCTCTCATCATTTTCACTGCTTCCCTGGTCCTCCCGAGTCTTCTGGCACACATTGCTAGCCTTCTTTTGATGTAGACCAAGACATTGGTGTCTCGTCCTGAAGAGGGAAATATAAAACACCAAGCTTAAGAAAACAAGAGCTTTCCACTGAGCAGCAAGAAAAAATACAGAGGCCTTTTGCCATGCCCTTCCAGGAAAACCTCAGAGAGAACAGACTGCTCCTTCAGCCGTTCCTTACTGCTAGCAGCACTGACATTGCTATTAGTAGAATGCATACAGTCAAGTAAAAGCACCTAGACTTCCAAAGGTTAAATCACGTGACTGATTACCTAACCCATGCTTTTGAGTTAGGATGCTGAATGTTTGATAAATAAGATCACCTGCCACTTCGTGCTGGGAAAATGACCATACCTCATTACATGTGGTTTACAAGCAAGAATTCCACAGTCTTAAAGTTTGCATGCTTTTGGTGAAGATGCAAAGAGGTGAATCTCAGGTTGTATCCTGATGAACTACTTTTTTTCCCTTCTTAACATTAAGAGAAGTCTGGAGAAGCCTCATTTTGAACTTCTGTTTTATATTATTCTTCCCCTAACACTAGTGACATCATAATCATCTCCAGGTCCCCAAAGCAGTCGATTTTACATGGCAATATAACACATTCCAGATATGACAATAGAGTATGCAACAAAATGAAAAACTACCCTAGTGTTAGAGAAAGCACTGACAAGCTAAATAGTTATAATAATAGTCACTAAAATGGCTCTTTAAAAGTACATCAACAACTTCTCATCTTAATCTTTTATTTAATTGTATGTCTTTTTGGCTATGTTTTCAGATCAGTGAGAACATGCCCGTGCTTAACCCTCAATAAAATTACTATGTTTTAGAAAAATATGACACACCTGTTATAGATTAAGTACATGTATAATATGCAGCTATTAAAAGATGTTAAGACCAAAGTCCTAACATTTCAAGTTTTAAACAATGAGAAAAAGATGTGTGCTGAAAATCTGCCAAGTATCTACAAATTATATTAAAGATGGATTATATTTTTTGGATAGTTTTAGGCAACAGGTTGACAGGATTTAATTTATAGAAGAAAAGAAATAGAGAAACAATTTTAAGTTATAGGTTATGTGATTTTACATATTAATCCTTATTTAGTTCACAAAATAGACATTAACTATATGTCTTTAAAATTCATTAAGTTACACATAATTTTTTAAAGGAAGATATACATGTGATTAGAGACTTGATTAATACACATACTGACTGCAGAATAAAAATAAAAACCTGTCTATTGATGGATTATGTGGACACACTCATATGTACACAGGCCGTAATGCAGGCTCTTGCTGTACTTCAGTCACAGGGACTAACGCACTCAGTTTCTGCACCAAATCCAAGTTTAACACTAAAATTTAACTTTATAATCTCAAATATGAAGGAGATACACTCCTACTCTCCAAGATATAGGAGGGAGAAATGAGGTGAAAGAAATTCTACCTTAAGAAAACAACCCCAAAGTTTGGTGGGATGATGAAAACTCTCCCTCTCACAAGGATCTCTACATTTCTGCTTGAAACAACCAACAGACTGACATCAAGGGGCTCAGGGAATTCTAGAAATGATTTTGTTGTCTTGCTTTTATACCATTCCCCTAACATCCCAGGATATCACTGACTCTCAGTTCAGTATTCTGAAGTGAAAGGTCTTATTTTAAAGAGCTATCTTAAATAAAAGAAGGCACTATTTTTAATGTAAAAAGATAAATAATTAGAAACTCATGGCTCTTTGTTTCTGGAAGCCCTAACACTAGTGACATCACTAGTGCTTCCTAAATAAAAGCTAAATACTGAGACAATTACCAATAACTTATTTTCTTTGTTGTCCTATTTCAGCCTATGCTGTAGAAGAATCATAAGATGAAACGTTGGTAACAGTCACATAAATTTAAGTCCAAGTTCCCAACCAGAACTTACTATGGGCAGAGAAGAAATTAATAAACGGAAATATGTAAGAATTTGGGGGAGAAAAAAGGTTACCACTAAAGGCTATTACTATTTATGTCTGGAGTTAGGAATCTACGGGCAGGAAAGAGAATCTGAACAATAATGTGAACAGTAATGAAGCTATAGATTATGTACTATGCTCTTATGGGAAGGAATAAAATTAGTAAAAACAATGGAAGCCAAAGGCCAGTATTTATTCTCATCTAGGAGAATCATATTTGCTCTGGTGGATCATGTTACGATTCTGACCATCCCCCACCCCTTCAACCTGGAGGAAACCTTACGATGTTGGGCTTCATACTGGGACCCGTGATGCTGTAACTGCTGAGAGCGCCGGTAACAGCCGTCTCCAGCCTTCAGGGCCTGCTTAAACAGCTTCTCTGCTTCAGCAATGGTTGTGGCCTCCTCTTCAGCCAAGAGAATATAAGCAGTTGCACACCTGTCCATTCAGATAATAGCCTCATCAATTCCAAACCCAAGGACATGGTAACAGCTGTAGGAGTACATGCAGAAGGGCAAGGAGTTATGCCAATACATGCAGAGTGGCCAACTGGTTCATGCACCCCTGTTTGTAGCTGTTGACACAAAATAATGGTACAAAAGAAAGGTCTGTATTTTAGTTTGAGAGGTAGGATGTGTGTTGTTAGGAGCGTGGAGCTCACATAGGGACTTGGCCCCTTATTAGTGTGTTGCTTTGGGCAAGTTATTACTCTGCCTCCCTGATGGAGAACAACGTGGAATTTATTTGTTCACCATGTTGTTGTGAAAGTTAAATAAGGTGATGCATGTAAAGTGCTCAGTACAGTAGCCAGCATGTGTCACATGCTCAAAAAATGCCAACTAACAATGGTGATGATAATAACTGTTATTAAACACCTTCTTCCAACAGTCAAAATTAGAGATAATTACTAAACATAGATTCTCTTTAAGGATTTCTTCAGAAAAGAAATTCATTAAATCAAGTAAATTCCTCACTGAAAAAACAGTGCTTCAACATCTCGTTAGTTGGCACCGATTTTCTATCTCAGAGAAGAACACTGGTAGAACCTACAGGTCGTGTTATTTCTGAAGAGCTCAAAATTTAATTCAGCCTCAGCAGCTAACAAGCATTAAATCTCATGCCTTTGATAATAATAGCTATCAGCTGTTGCTCAGTATATATTAAGTACTGTACAAGGCACTTAACATGTATCATCTCATTTAATCCTTCAACAACCTCTAAGGTAGGAAGCCAAAAGGCATAAGCCACAAACTAATGAACAAGGGGAATTCTCGGAAACTAAACCTTCCACATCATGTAAGAACAGCCCAAGTGCCAAAGAAAGGTAATGTAACAGGGAAATGGTGAGCAGGGCAGACCACACAGGCCCTGATGTGCACAGACCCCTTTACTTTCCTTCTTCTCCCCTGACTCTCTTGTGGTTATCTCTCTACTTATCAGAACCTCCATCAGACCACAAGAGAGAAACAGAAAGTGAAACCAAATGGTGCTTTTGCTACTCATAAGCTGCAACAGCAGCTAGGAAAAGGAGGCTGAGCTTACCACTACTGTGAGGTTTGGGGTTACTCGTTAACCTTTGCATTGAGGCAGGCTCTTGTAAATTCTTCAGCCAATCCCTCTAATTTCAGGCAGGACTGATCAATGGGGCTTTAAACTGAATGTGGTAAGATAGGGAGAAAAATGCCCAGAAAAAAGTTCAAAACCCATATGGAGGGCAGTAGATAAATGGCTTAGAAAGAACAACAATGATGCTGAAACTGCCCAGTGCCTCACTTGAGGAAGTAACTGGGATAGGCATCAGAAAGCGATACTTAAGCTTCAGATGCCAGCATACAAATACAGGTCAAAGGTAATGAAGTGAAATCAAGACTAACACTGTGTGGCAGACACAGGGTCAGAGGAATTCGCTCTAAGATTATAGTTGGTGGGCTGGGAACTCAAGACAGGTTGGGGCAAGCTTGCTGCTTTATTTATATTTCAAATAGTATTCTTAGGAGGAGAGGCAGAGTAGCACTACTGGCCAAGAAAACATACATCTATGTTTGGGTAGAAACTCATGAGTTTGGGTAGAAACATGCTAAGAGCTTGTGAGTGAAGGAGAAGGAAAAGAACAATAGAAGTGCTAATGGTTGGGGAATGCAGAACAGACTGCCAGCTGGATGGAAGAAATAGGTGATGCGTCCTTGTCACAACACAATACACACACAGAAGCAAGAAGTATGGTGATGGGGGTGTCAACCATCCAGATATCTGCTAGAAGAAGTCTCACTTGGTTAGAAGTAGGGCACCCGACAGGTTCTTGACTTACTTGGGTAACAATTTTATCTCCCAGATGGTAGAGGAAGCAATTAGGGGAACTTCAACTCTGGACCTAATTCTGACCAAGAAGAAAAAAATAGTTGGTGAAATGAAAATTGATAGGAACATTCAGAGAGAGTCACTATGTCATTTTTGGAGTTCAGGATAATCAAAGAGGGTAAAGTGGACTTCAAAAAATTCAAAGAAAAGAGGCATGATTCAATGGCATGAGACTCAGAAGGAAAAATGGTTTAAAGGATTGGGCAGCTTCTAAATGTCCAACTGTATCTGCAATCACAAATGATACTCTCAGGAAGAAATGATACTCTCAGGGTGGTGGGGAGAGGGGGACAATTAAGTAACTAATATGGCTGCATAGAGATCTCTCTCAAGGTCAGATTTTTAAAAGACATGTAAAAAATGATGCAAAGAGGGCATGTAATGAAGGACCATAAGAGAGTGGAATGAGCTTGTAAGAATACTATCAGGAGAGCTGAAACTCCAAATTGACTGATGCTTGCAAAACAAAATAAAGACAAAACAAACAAAATGCTACACACAACCATTTATTCCCTGTTTTTAAATTTGTTTAAGGCGCTATCACCCTCCCCTCATTTCTACAAAACCATCACAAAATTAAGCAAAAAAGACAAACAACACAACAACAATACCAAAACAAGGAAAGTTTATAGTTAGTAGCAGCAGATAATAAAGAGAAAGCAAAGCTCTCTAACTCCTATTTTGTTCCCAGCTTCTCTGTCAAGGAGAATGATTGTCAGGCTGAAAAAAGGGAGAAGAAATTAAACTCTAAAATGGGCAGAAAGATGTAAGACAGAAAACAACTGATCTATTCTAAATGAATTACTATACTGGGATGAGCAAATCCCAAGAAGCCAACAGTCCTTGCAGGCAGGCCACAGAATTGCTCTCTGTAGATAGGTCGGGAATCACAAAGAATGGAGAGGTACTAGAAGATGAGATGACAAATGTAGTAAAAATGTTCAAAAAGGGGAAGAAGGCAGACTTCCCAAACTACAGAACAGTGATTTAGAAAGATATTCTAATGGATTATTAAAGGGATGGTCTCCAAGCATTTTAAAAGTAAAGTAGTGAACCCTAGAAGCTAGCTTAATTCACTAAGAATAAATAGATCAGGTTGTGCTAGCTTAATTTACTCTAACAGTTTTACCATATATTAAAGATCCATAGCTACAACTGGCATTCTTCAGATCAAAATGCAGAAATACAGGCTGAATCACAGCATAGTGGGGTGGTTTAGTGATTGGCTGAATAATATCAAAGGGTGATGAGTCAAGAAACCATTGGAGGGTGGTTTCTATATGTCATATCCCAGTGTTCTATCCCTGATCTTGATATTTTTGTCAGAAACATGGATGATACACAGAAGGCAGGCATAGCAAATTAGTAGATGACAAGGAACTGTAAAATAAATATGTTGCATGACAGAATCAGAAACCAAATAGATCAACTGGTCACAACAGCAGGATTTCCAATTCTCAAGTGAATCTTTTTTTCTAAGACCTCTGAAGAAGATTCTGTATCCTTCTTCAGAAAAGTCATAAAATAGTTTAACAATGACCACTTGGCAGGGAGACTGTTGAGGTGATTCAAGCACCAGATGGGTGGCTGAGCTAAATGACCTTTAAGGTCTCTGCCAACCCTGAGCTTATATGACTCCACCTTTAAGAATCTTTCTCATTTTCTGAAATCTTCAAAAGAGATTCCCCAGCCTTTCTCGGTTATGCATAGAATGTTTAACAACACTAAGGACAGCATCTCTTCCTCTTATCTTTGTCTTGATCTTTAAATGTTTTTAAAGTGTAATTTTTCACTTTATATTTTTATTATGTTTTCCCCACTAGCAGAGGTTCTACCTAGAAATGTGATGGCATAGATGAGCATTCTACATCTGGAAAAATTTCCCTGTTGATATATTTTAATCATGTATTTATTTTATGTTCTCACATCTCACAGACAGCCCTTGAAGGATTTAATTGAGGTTCAAAACAAAGCCACTGAATTGCTCTCTAAAATTAAAACCACCTTCAAATGGATGCTCTCCACACACACAAATATTTTTTTATAAATTAATACCCCCCCAAATAATCCTCAAGTTCAAAGGCATAGTTTAATATAAACCATCAAGAGCAACTGAATACATTTAGAAAAGGATGAGACTTCCTTTTTAAGAGCAAGACTCTCTCATACTTACTCATTTATCTCTAAGGCTTCATGAGCTGCTGAAATCCTGGCTTGGGGGTTTCTCTCTCTCCAGGCTTTCTGCATTACTATTTTAGAAATAAGAGAAAAAAAGCAAACCAATCAATACAAATAATTAGGAAGACTAAAAACAAGACAATAGCTAAATCAATGGCTTTTAGTTTGAATTTCTAGAGAATATTTCACTTACCAAGTGGATCAGCCCAAATCGCCAAAGTCACACAAATACACCCTAATTAGCTCTTCCATTGTCCTTCAATTACTGTATCAAACCTTTCCTGAACTTACCAAACTACAGATCTACATCTTAGAGACTAATGCATAGTCTTTAATCTTAGAAGCTTAATCTTGATTAAGAGTTCTTAATCAAGAAAAGAAAAGGCACTCTAACAGAGATTTTTCTTTTGCTCATTAATGTCATTTGTTGTTAGAGAATACATATTATTTTACATATTTTGAGATGACATTGTTACTAATCTCTCCCATCTGACACAACATAATTTCTATTGGTCATGTTCCCAAACACTTGCTAGAAGTTCTGGATATTAGAACATTTTAAAACCATTTGAAGAATTATGAGTTGGATCAGAAAAGAAGTCTTCAAGGGGATAAAGAGGCACAAAATCTCAATCATAATACAAATTAGTCATGGGATAAAAGTACAGCATAGAGAATATCATCAATAGCCTTACAACATCTTTCTATGTTGGCAGACAGTCACTACACTAGTTGAGGTGAGCACTTAATAATGTAGATAACTGTCAAATCAGAATGTTGAATCCTTGAAATCAATATAATATTTTATATCAACTTTACTTCAATTGAAAAATATTTTTTAAAAGTGCTTTAGACTTTTGCTTAACATGTGTTCCCAAAGTTTGCCACAAACTTAGTTTTTATATACCAGAGCAGTTTGTGAATATACTGTGGGAAGCTCAATGGTTGGGATATTTATTATACTATGGTGTTCCACCATGGCAAAGAGTACCTTCTTAGAAAAGACCAACAATCTTCTTATTTAATTTGTTTTATAAATATTACCTTTTAAGTTAATTTCTTAGGAGCACGTAACTACTCTCTTCTGTAAATTTTTTTTTTCAACTATTTAATTTGGTATAAAAAATATTAGTAGGATTATTTGGAACTCAAGCAATGTGAAATGCATACTGAACAAAGTCTTTTCTAGGATGGAAAAACAAATACGGATTCCAGTAGCCAAGGCCATGCCTATAAATGTTAGTGAACCTATAAATACACATAGGAATCACTATAATTTTAATCATTTGGATTCACTGAGTACTAATTTCCAACTAGAATATGATCAAGGGGAAAGGACCCTTCAAGCTATGTCAATCACAGATTTAACTTGCTTCATAGAAGATCTATACTTCTTCAAAAAACACACATCCAAGTCTGGTGTATTTTTAAAAATAACATTTTATATCATGATTAAGGGACTCCTTTCGACATCAAAACATCATTGTGGAAAAGCCTTTTTTGAGTATTAAAATTCTAAAGAGAGGGAGGTGCCAAGAGGGCGGCATGAGTAGGACAGCGGAAATCTCCTCCCAAAAACATATATATTTTTGAAATACAACAAATACAACTATTCCTAAAAGAGAAACCAGAAGATACAGTACAGCAGCCAGGCTACATCTATACCTGTGAGAACGCAGCGCCTCGTGAAGGGGGTAAGAGACAAGCCACGGCCTGGCGGGACCTGAGCACGCCCACACCCCTCACCCCAGCTCCTGGCAGGAGGAGAGGAGTCAAAGCGGGGAGGGAGAGGGAGCCCAGGACTGCTAAATACCCAGCCCCAGCCATCCACACCAGGAGCACAGACACAGTGTGTGGTGTGCTGGATACTAGGGAAATGGAACAGTAAAACCTGCAAGCGGGTCCCTGCAGCCAGTGCCCCTGGGACAAAGGAAAAGCGAGTGCTTTTTGAAAGTCTTAAAGGGACAGGGGCCTCACCACTGGACAGAAGCATCCTGGCACACTCAGCCCAGCAGCTGGGAATCCTGGGGAACTCCAGGCACCCTAACCTCCAGGGCAGCAGGGCAGCTCTGAGGCCCCTCATGGCGATAAACAGCCTCCCGCCTGTTCCCCCTCCGGCACAGCCCTGCCATAGCACAGCAGCAGCCTCAAAGTGGTCAGGCCCACAGCAACTGCACGGAGCTTACTCCAGGCAAGAATCAGAGACTCCATCTGCATGCAGCTGCCCAGCACCAGCCGCTAGGGGTCGCCGTTCTCCCAGGAAAGGAAGGCCAGAAGCAAGTGGAAAGGGACTTGGTTCCCCCAGTTGACACAGCACCAACTGCCTATGACTACCTCTAGCACCATGAAAAGGCAGGAGAATTTGATACAGACCAGACTAACCCAGACATCCTCCCCAGAGAGGGAATCTGGGGAGATAGATTTAACCAATCTTCCTGAAAAGGAATTCAAAATAAAGATCATAACCATGGGGATGGATTTGCAGAGAAATATGCAAGAGCTAAGGAGGGAGAATACATAAATAAAAAAATCTCTGGAAGGACTTAAAAGCAGAATGGATGAGATGCAAGAGGCCATTAATGGAACAGAAATCAGAGAACATGAATGCAGAGAAGCTGACACAGAGAGAGAGAGAGACAAAAGGATCTCCAGGAATGAAAGAATATTAAGAGAACTCTGTGACCAATTGAAATGGAACAATATCCGCATTATAGGGGTGCCAGAAGAAGAAGAGAGAGAAAAAGGGACAGAAAGCATCTTTGAAGAAATAATTGCTGAAAACTTCCCCAAACTGGGGGAGGAGATAGCCTCTCAGACCACGGAAGCACACAGAACTCCAAACACAAGGAACCCTAAGAGGACAACACTAAGACACATAATAATTAAAATGGCAAAGATCAAGGACAAGGACAGAGTTTTAAAGGCAGCCAGAGAGAGAAAAAAGGTCACCTCCAAAGGAAAACCCATCAGGTTATCATCGGACTTCTCAACAGAAACCTTACAGGCCAGAAGAGTATGGCATGATATATTTAATGCAATGAAACAGAAGGGCCTTGAACCAAGGATACTGTATCCAGCACGATTATCATTTAAATATGAAGAAGGGATTAAACAATTCCCAGACAAGCAAAAGTTCAGAGAATTTGCCTCCCACAAACCACCTCTACAGGGTATTCTAGAGGGACTGCGCTAGATGGAAGCACTCCTAAGGCTACACACATGTCACCAGAGAAAATAAAATCACAGCAAAGAAAGCGGAACAATCAAATACTAACTAAAGGCAAAAAATAAAATCAACTACCCACAAAAGCAGTCAAAGGAAAAACAAAAGAGAATCAAAAAAAAAAAACAAAAAACATACAAAGAATGGAAGAGGAGGAATAAGAAAGGAGAAAAATAAAGAATCATCAGACTGTGTTTATAATAGCTCAGTAAGTGAGTTAAGTTAGACAGTAAGATAGTAAAGAAGCTAACCTTGAACCTTTGGTAACCATGAACCTAAAGACTAGAATGGCAATAAGTACATATCTTTCAATAATCACCCTAAATGTAAATGGAATGAAAGCACCAATCAAAGACACAGAGTAATAGAATGGATAAAAAAGCAAGAACCATCTATATGCTGCTTACAAGAGACTCACCTCAAACCCAAAGACATGCACAGACTAAAAGTCAAGGGATGGGAAAAGATATTTCATGCAAACAACAAGGAGAAAAAAGCAGGTGTTACAGTACTAGTATCAGACAAAATAGATGTCAAAACAAAGAAAGTCACAAGAGATAAAGAAGGACATCATATAATGACAAAGGGGTCAATCTAACAAGAGGATATAACCATTATAAATATATATGCACTCAACACAGGAGCACCAACAAAAGTGAAACAAATACTAACAGAATTAAAAGAGGAAATAGAATGCAATGCATTTATTTTAGGAGACTTCAACACACCACTCAATCCAAAGGACAGATCCACCAGACAGAAAATAAGTAAGGACACAGAGGCACTGAACAACACACTAGAACAGATGGACCTAATACATCTATAGAACTCTACACCCAAAAGCAACAGGATACACATTCTTCTCAAGTGCACATGGAACATTCTCCAGAATAGACCACATACTAGGCCACAAAAAGAGCCTCAGTAAATTCAAAAAGATTGAAATTCTACCAACCAACTTCTCAGACCACAAAAGGATAAAACTAGAAATAAATTGTACAAAGAAAACAAAAAGGCTCACAAACACATGGAGGCTTAACAACATGCTCCTAAATAATCAATGGTTCAACAACCACATCAAAATAGAGATCAAACAATATATGGAAACAAATGATGACAACAACACAAAGCCCCAACTTCTGTGGGACGCAGCGAAAGCAGTCTTAAGAGGAAAGTATATAGCAATCCAGGCATATTTAAAGAAGGAAGAACAATCCCAAAGGAATAGTCTAAAGTCACAATTATTGAAATTGGAAAAAGAAGAACAAATGAGGCCTAAAGTCAGCAGAAGGAGGGACATAATAAAGATCAGAGAAGAAATAAACAAAATTGAGAAGAATAAAACAATAGCAAAAATCAACGAAACCAAGAGCTGGTTCTTTGAGAAAATAAA